AAGGCAAAAGAGAGACCCTGCCCTCAAGGAGCACACAGTTTAATGGAGAGACAAACATGAAAACAACTGCATACAAACAAGCGATACGTACAGAATAAATTGGAAATAATCAACGGAGGGAAGGCACTCATGGGGATTCATTAAGGGGAATCAGGAGAGGCTTCCTGTAGAAAGTGGGATCCTATCTGCAACTGGAAGGAAGCCAGAAGGCAGAGATGGAAAGGGAAAGCATTCCAGGGATGGGGGACAACCAGTGTAAATGCCCAGAATCGGGACAGCAAGTGCCTTGTTGGAGATCAGCAGGAAGGTCAGTGTCACTAGATCATAGAGTATGTGGGGGAAGGTATAAGGTGTGAGAAGACTGGAAAGATGAGGGGGGTGGCAGGTTAGGAAAGGCTTTGAGTGACAAACAAAGGATTTTGTATTTGACCCTGGAGGTGAAAGTGACCTCCGGCACTGTGGTTTATGAAGTTAAGGGGAGACATTGCCAGACCTGTGTGTTGGGAAGGTCACTTTGACAGATGAGTGGAGGATGGGCTGGAGTGGGGAGAGACTTGTGGCAGGCTGACCGACCAGCAGGAGTGAGGTGGTGAGAGCCTGCACCAGGGCGACAGTGTCAGAGAAGACAAGAAATACGATACCAGTACATTTATTCATTCATCTGTCCATCTACCCAACAAACATTTATTAGGTAGTTACCATGTGCAAGGCACTGTAGCAGCTACTCTGGGGGATAAAAAGATCAATGAGTCCTTGCCATTACCTCTCAATATCAATGCGTACACTTCATTCCTTAGGTAGCATTTAATAATCTAGTACATAACGTTGTGACTCCACAACAAAAAGAGTTTTAAGGTCGATCTGATGTGAGTTCAATAGAACAAAATTGTAGTCGAATAGAGGAATCAGGTAAGTCTTTTGAAATTTGTTTCCAGAGGATTTGGCCTAGATACCAGCATTTTAGAACTATAAGGACCTTAAAATTATCACATAATTTCACCATTCATTTTACATATAAGGACACTGAGGCCCAGAGAAAGGAAATGATTTGCCTAAAGTCAACCAGTCCATTAAATGCAGAATACAGACATGGAAACCAGGTTTCCTGACCAGAATCATAATTGGCAATTTCAGCACCTGAAAAAGTACCACAGAATATATCCCCCCAGAGCAAATGGCATAAAATGCACCCTGTGATCAACTTTTTTCAGACAAATTAAATTGGGGGACCTCCAGACACAAATCCCACAGGATAGGGAGAGAGACCCAAGAATTCCATCGAATAGCTTCCTATTTTAAGTAATTACTCTTACTAACTTGGCACTAAGGTCAGTTGTCTCTACCTGCCGAAGGGATGTTGTCAATGTCCTCTAAATTTCAGTGCCCTGGGCATAAGTCTAGTCATCTCACCCTAGTTATGGCTCTATGCCAGACTCCCAACCCAATGCTCTTTCCATTACAAGCACACTGCTTCTCAATTGTATATCCATTCAGTAGCTACCCTCATCTGCTAAAAGATTTGATGGAAGGAGAGCAGGAGGGAATAAAAACAGAGATGGCATTGCTATTTCACTCTACTTTCAGTTTCTCCCTTTTCCTCAGATGAAACCTATTCTTGCTTTCTTGGGGTTTTATTGCTGACAGTGTCCATCATTCTTGATGAGGCCATAAGAAAATTCACTCCACTCCTTTTTAGCCTTGCCTCATTACTCTGTTTTTACGGTCTGAGACAAGGGCTGGGGCTGAGATGCAAGCTACCATCATTCATCTTGCTATTGTTTGAAGAGGTAAATCGCTGGCTTCTGAGCCCTCTTGTATGTCCTGTATATATCTATCTCTCCCAGGCTGTCGCTGCTAGAGTTCTGGTATCGTGCTCACAGAATCACTATGAATATTTAGCAGACACAGTCAGCTGCCTAATCCTCTTACTCTTAACACATTTTAGTAGCTAGCTATGGCATAACTACACTGTGCGGTAACTATGTACTTTAGGGCCTATGACCTTAACATTTCATTTGCTATCTGGAAAGGAGACCAAATAATGATCAGCTCATAAAAATGAAACGCCCACATTTGATTTCATTCAGGCAGTGGTCTTGCCCCTAGAATTACATGACTATGCACTAAATGAAATGCAGATCACAGATGAGGTTGGGAAGTTCAGGGATGAGGGTTCTCAACAGGCTGAGGAGGTGGGGAGGGAGGCTGCTCCAGACAGCCCTGACTGATGCCACAACCGCGGAGAGGAATGTCCAAGATGAAGGAGGGATTGGCACTCTCCCCTTCTCCCAGGCCAAATCTACCTTTGATTCTTTCCTCTCCTTCATCTTCTATATACAATAAATCATCAAACCTTATAGATTCTCCTTTCAGAATATCCCTTACTGTTGTCATAAATACAAAAATATTTGTGGCCTCTCTTTTTGTAGTAGTAAATAACAGGAAGGAAAGTGAGCGCCCGTCAGTTGGCAGATGGCTGCAGCAGATGATAATAGGGCAGCTAGATGGCTCAGTGGATACAGTACTTACTAGGCCCGAAGTCAGGAAGATTCATCTTCCTGAGGTCGTGTCTGGCCTCAGACACTTACTAGCTATGTGACCCTGGGCAAGTCACCCTGTTTGCCTCAGTTTTCTCACCAGTAAAATGAGCTAGAGAAGGAAATGGCAGACCACTCCAGTATCTTTGCCAAGAAAACCTCAAATATTATTACTGTGACATAAAGAAATGGCAAACACAAACAATTCAGAGACTAGGGAAGACTTGAATGAACTGATACAGAGCAAAGTAAACACACTTAAGAGAACAATTTGTCAGATGACCACAACAATGTAAAGGAAAAAAAATACTGGGAATCCTCACTTCTGTGATCCACGAAGTACCCAATTGTGACTTCAGAGCCCTGATGGTGAAGCATTCCTCTAGCGTCTCAACAGAGAGGCAGGTGTGGAATGAGGCATACATTTTCAGACATGGCCAATGTATTGATCTGTTTACCTTGCTTGTACTTATTAGTGAAAAGGAAGCATTCTATTACAGGGCAGGGGGTAATCATTGGGAAGGGAGAACAATATAAAAAAGGAAAAGAGAATCAACACATCTTTAAAAACCAAAATATGTCCTGCTCTCCATTTTAGTGTCACTGCCCTAGGAAGGTTCTCCCCATACCCTTTCGACCTCTGCCCTGTTCATTACAGACTTTATCATGTCAGTTGTGTATTTACCCCTCTCAGAAATCGATGAGGACTTTTGGATGAAGCCCATTTTTCTTATCATGGCATTCACTAATGGAGTTTCTCTTGTATCAAACTGTCCTGCCCTACTTGGTCAACCTTAACTCCCACGATTCCACAGATTCAGCCTTCCACTCCAATAAAAGCAGTCTGTTTTGTGTTAACTGATGAAGAGGGAAGTAGACAGAACTAAGAAAACAATATTCAAGACCCCCAGTAATGTAAACAAAAAAAGAATGCTAAAACAAAATCAAATGCTATATGATTTTAATGGCCAACGTTGGCCCCCAAAAAGAGATGAGGTAAGCACTTCCTTCCCTTCTTGAGAGAGATGGGGGGCTGTGGGTATGAAACACTGGATACATGATTAGATCGGTCACTTGTGTTGGTTGGCTCTGCTTACTGGCTTGATGCAGCTCCAGGAAAAAGAGCCCTGGGCCTAAAGTCAGGAAAGACCTGAGTTCAAACCCAGCTTTAGAGACCTACTGGCTGTGTGACCATGGGCAAGTCATTTAGCCTCTGTTTGCTTCAGTTTCCTCAACTGTAAAATAAATGATAATAACAGCACCTATCTCCCAGGGTTGTTGTGAGAAGGATCCAATAAGATGATATTTATAGATCACTTAGCTTAGTGCTTGGCATATGGGAGGTGCTTAATAAACATGTATTAATTGGTCAAGAAATAGGAAATAAGACTGCAAAAGCAGAGTGGACTCATGTCTCTAACGACAGTTGAAGAGTTTCAGCTTTTCTCTGGAGGCAATCAACAGACACTGAAAGGGTTCGTTTTTTCTTAGCAGAGAAACATTATAATACCCATGCAAAGGAAAGATCATTCTGTCATTGGAAGAAAGGATGGCTTGGAAAGAGGGAGAGCAGAGTCAGGGAGACCTGCGAGAAGACTTGAGCAGTTGACTAGGAGGGAAACAATAAACTAGGATGACTGTAGTGGGAATAGAGAGATGGGGGACATGAGAAAGAGGCTGCAGAGATGAAATCGGCAAGACTGGTGATTGGTGTCTGTGAGAGATAAGGGAGAAGGAAGAATCCAAGACAGTCGCTCCATCTCTAAAAATGGATACTGAGACATCGCTTGCTACTGTTACTTGTCCAGAATCACTTTGCCAGTAGGTAACTAAGTAGGGTTTAAATTCAACTCCCATGTTTTCCCAACATATTTTGATTCCGCTTTTATAGTCTTATCACATCTATTCTTCACAGAAGTTGTTGTCCAGTATTATAGATTGTTCTGTGTACTTTGTTCTCCCACATCCATCCCTCAAGACTGTTCAGTTGCATGAAGTTAAGTCAAATCAAATCAGGCCAACAAGGATTTACTTAGCAATTTACTCCGTGCCAGACTCCATGGTAAGGGCCAAGGATAAAAACACAAGCAAGAAGCAAGACAGCCGCTCCTCTCAAAGAGTTTGCAATCTGATGGGAAGCAGGGGGCAGAGAAGAGAGGCAAGGAAGGTTCACTCAGGGGGCATGTATGGTGGTGAAGTGCAAAGAGTCAAAAGCAGAAGCAGGAGAGGAATGCAGGATGGCTAGTCTGAGCCCTTCCCCAAAGCAGAAGCTCTGGGAGGAACTCACCAGTGGAAGAAACGGACCACAGTGGGAAAAGGATGCTTCGAGGTGAGAAGGTAACAGGAATCAAGGGAACCTCAAGGCTCCCTCGAGGGAGCTGGGGCATGGTGGCGAGAGTCAGAGTAGAGGCCACTTTTTGACTGTATTTTTCTCTCTTTCCCCTCTTTCTTCTCCCTCCTCAGCCTAGCACAATGCAAATGAAGAAGACCACTGCTGTTGAATCAATCCATCAGCTAATCTTCCTGTTAGCTTTGTACAGAACCTAGCCCCAGAACAAGGTACATGAAAACACATTCACACCAATAGCGATCATTAAATTATCATAAGCTTGGCCCTGGAGACTTTTTGTGTGAATTAGTGTCGCCTATTAAAAATGAAATCCCAGATAATAAATTGCCCTAAGGGGCCCAGATGCCTTTAATCATAATTTTCTCTTATCCCCCAAGTCTTCTGAGTTCTAATGAGATCCAATTCACATCCTGAATGAATTATGGCTGTAGGAGTGTGTGCACTCAATGAAAATAAACTAGCTGAGAGGCTCATGTTTACGCAACTTCTTTAATTCATTCTCAGTCCAAAAATAGCTTTACAGTCTTCCCCTAAAAGGAGAAGTGAATATTTATTAACCCTTTGTGCTCTACGCAGAAACCCCTGGGGATGTACATAGGTGCACATGGGAATATTGTATATTGCTTTCTGTAGTAACAGTCCTTCAAAATCCAAGTAGAAATGGAATTTTGCTAAATCCATCCTATTTTCTTATTGACTTACATTGCAATCTGGTATGCATATTATCTTTTATTTCTTTTGTTTTCATTTCACAGAGTCCCTTAATGGGAAGTGCCACCTAACAGTTTAGCTTTAAGTTTCTCTGCTCCCATCTCCTGTCAAGTAGTAATAATCTACAAACAAACTCATCAAAGCCCTAGGGGAGCTCCAGTTTAAAGGAATCTTTTTCTAAAGCACAGACTCCTAATGGAGTTTCTTTCATCTTCATTGCTATTAGAAGAGGAAAGGGTCTCAGTACTGGGTCATTTTGGGGTAGTGTATGTGTGTGAGAAAATGGTTCTTGTGTGACCATGTGAATATGGGTGCGAGAGGACAAGGAGGAAGTCGAACTTTTACATTGGAGTCTAGGTCCATTTTTACAGAGCTGTGAGAGGAGTTCCTGTCGTTGAAAGAGTCCAACACTCTTTGCCACCTCTTTTTCCCCTGACGTGTTTTTCAATGATGGAGGTTGGGGGAGTGTAACTTCCCTCCTTGGAAGAAGAGAGGGCTCAGGTCAATCAACTACAAAGAAAGGGATATTCTTAAAGCTAGCTATTCCCTACGCATGTCTGCCAAAGTAAGACACCTTCTTCTCTGGATTCCCTGTCCATCAAAAGATGAATTACCATCAAATCACAGATGAACAGTTGGAAGGGACTTTAGAAATCATTTAGTTCATCCTCTTCATTTTATAGATGAAGAAAGGCCCAGGAAAGGTGAGAACTTTCCCAAAGTCACTTATGTAGTAAATGTGTAAAGCAGGATTTGAACCCAGGTCCTCTCATGCCAGAGTTAATGCTCTTTTCCCTGTACTACTCTGCCCCTTTTTGTTCATTTGTCCATTTATATTTATTATATAAATTATATAATTATTATATATTATATAAAGCCCTGTGTTAGGTTCCTGAGGTTACTAGGAAAATAAACAACATGAACAGTGCCTTCTTGGTCTATGGAACATCTTATGGTTCAAAGGTGAAGCCCGAGCCATTGTTAACAGATTTACTCTCTGCCTTACCTGTGGTTTACACTCTAGGAAGCTGGGAAGCAAAAAAAGGCTCACTTGAGAAGATGGTCAGAAATAGAAGGTCCAGAGAAGAGAGGATCAAGATTGTTTGAGGAACTGAAGTTAAACCTTTAGGTGGCAGTCTTAAGACAAATAATTTTATTGTCAAAGGCTCATTTTTGTCCCCATTTTCTCCCATTTGGAACTTCCAGATTGGCCACGGAGGTGTGTCTGGTCCAAGAAGAGGAGGGGAGAGGTACTGGTCGTGGGCTTCCCCCACCCACATGACCTTCTTTATCTGCTGCTTTCCTAATCATCATGCATGGTTCCCCTTGAAAGAAAGGGACAGGATGACAGGTTTAGGTGATGGTTTTGAAATTAAAAGAGCTGGGGAAGTTCCCCTGACTCAAAGACAGAGACAAGTAGGTATTAGTGACCAAGAGAGCCTGTTTGGCCAAGAGTTCCCCAAGATGGCAAGAAGACATGTGACTAGAAGATGGAACATCTCAACCAAGTTCTCCCAGCCTCACTTTCCATTCACCCTGTACTGAGTACCACCATCTATAAGACCTTGTCATGATGCCCACTTAGCTTTGCAAGTTATTTCAGATGCTGTTTTCATGAGATTATTGCACAGATGTGTATCTGCCACAGATCACCTCGAATCCCCAGAAGATCTTTATTACAAATGCCTATTTTCAGGTTGTTAGCCAACAGGTCTTATTGTTTGATGAATCAGTTTGTTAATCAAGCAGTAAATGTTTATTAAGCTTCTACCGTGTACTTTATTAGGGATTGCAAAGGATACAAAGAAAAATAGGACATGTCTTCTGTTCCCAAAAAACTTACAGTCTAGACTAATCATAGAGATAGGGTATGGCAGAAAGAGTCACGGATTTGGAATCAGAAGACCGGAGTTCAGATTCTGGCTTCTGCTTACAACTTATACTATACTGGACAATCAATTTCCCTCTCTAGGCCTCAATTTCCCTTGTTTGATGAGAGGATTGGACTAGATGAACTTTAACGTCCTCTCCTGGTCTAAATCTATGACTTTATTATTTTGACTGCACGTATATATATATATATATATATATACGTATGTGCATGTATACATATGTATATGTGTCAATATTCAAGTGCATACATGTGTGTTGTATATCCATATATGTTGATTTGGGTTTAACCCAACAAAGAATATCACCTGAATTCAGTTGCCTGAATCTGACAAGCATACAGGTGCTGGCAGTCTTGGTGGCCATGTAATCTGCATGCTACCAGAAGTCACTTAGAGACAATGCCCAGCCCTGTGTATCTCAGAAAGCTGTTATCTCTATCCTCTACTTCCGCTTCTTTGTGACTGGCAGCTGTCCGCCTCGTTAATCTAGAAGTGTATAGTCGGCATGGATTCATCCAGTTAGAATCTCTGCCTAACACCCGACCCACTGTGAGATTTTGACTCCTTCCCTTCCCTGATTCATTCCCATTGAATGACATAAGGGAGAGAGCCAAGCAAACAGAGTTTGATCATATGTAGTTTTGTTTTGGGTTTTTTTCAGTCAATCAAGAAGCATTTGTTAAGCGCTTCCTATGTGCCAGGCACTGTGCTGTGCTGGGAGTACGTACAAAGGCAAAAATAACCCCTGTCCTCAAAGAGCTTATATTCTAACGGGGGAGACACTCTATTTATACACACAGAGAGAGTACGGAATCAGTGGAAATCAGTCTTAAAAAGGAGGAACTAGGGTGAGGGGGCACTGGGAAAGCCTCTCTTATAATCAAGGAAATAGAGAAAAAGAAATAAAATCAAATATTTATCAACACATCCACCATCTGGGTTATGTGCCCCAGCTTGTCCCAAGCAGAGGCAACCTTTGGCCAGTCTATACATACATATGGCCCAAACAGAGAAGTCACTGGGCACAGTTCAGGTTCTTAGACTCAATCACTTCCTCTGGGAAATGCAACTCTTCCAAATGTTAGATTTAGCAAAAATCCCCCAAAATTTCTCACTCACAACCCCTTGAAGAGTCTTAGTTAGGTCAGCTAGGGAAATCAAGAGTTAAAGGGCATGTGGGGTGGACTGGGGGGAGATTACCAAGCTCCTGATTCTGCTTTCTTGCTCACACACTGCTGCCTGGAACCTTCCCGGTCACTCACCAGCCCGACTGTGTAGGGAAGGGCTCTGATTGCTCCTTGCAATCTGTCTATCACTAGGGGAGTGAAGAAGCGTAGTTGATAGTTAAGGGCAGGCTGGGCATGGAGATAAACAAACTCCTTGGATCACCATCGCAACTTAGTGAAGTGAGCAGAACCAGGAGAACATTGTACACAGTGACAGCACCATCGTGCAATGATCAGCTTTGATAGACTTAGCTCTTCTCAGCAATGCAATGATCTAAGACAATTCCAAAAGGCTCATGATGGAAAATGCCATCCACATCCAGAGAAAGAACTATGGAGTCTGAATCAAGATGGAAGCATACTATTTTCTCTTTTTGTTGTTGTTGTTGTTTTTTCTTTCTTGTGTTTTTTTCCTTCTGTTCTGATTCTTTTTTTACAACACGACTAAGGTGAAAATATGTCTAATGTGATCATACATGTATAACCTGTATCAGATTGCATGCTATCTTTGGGAGGAGGGAGGGGAGAGAGAGGGGAAAATTTGAAACTCAAAATCTTATAAAAGTGAATGTTGAAAACTAAAAATAATTAATTTTTTAAAAAATTTCATCAAGTGGGTGAGAATTGAGCTAGAATGTGAATAATGTATAGAATTAAAATGAAGGGGTACAACAATCCTCTCTCCCAGAGATAAGCATCGTACAAGATGTTTCTCCACTTGCTCCCTCATTGGGAAAGTAACTTGAGAAAGTTATGGAGCTGCACTGTGCAAAGGAAATTCAACCAGAAATATTTGTTACAAGGAAACGGGGACAGATGGGGTAGACAGCATATTAAAAAATTTTTTTTTGTTAAGCTCACAAAAGAAGATAAAAAATATAGGAGATACAACAGTGCTGTTGTAGCTGTTGGCTATCAGACATTTTCAGTTCTGTCCGACTCTTTATGATCCCATTTGGGGTTTTCTTGGCAGATACTTGAGTGGTTTGCCAGTTCCTTCTCCAAGAGCAGTTTTGTTACTAATTAATTAAATTATGGGGACAGCTAGGTGGTGCAGTGGGTAGAGGGCCAGGCCTGGAGTCAGGAGGACTGATCTTTCTGAGTTCAAATCTGCCCTCAGACATTTACTAGCTGTGTGACCCTGAGCAAGCGATTCAACCCTGTTTGCCTCAGTTTCCTCATCTGTAAAATGAGCTGGAGAAGAAAATGGCAAACCACTCCAGTATCCTTGCCAAGAAAACCTCAAATAGGGTTTTGAAGAATTGGACACAACTGAAACGACTGAATGAAAAAGTTAAATTATACATCCATATATAATATGTACATATGTTATACATACTTCTTCAAAAACAAACTGACAAAGCTCACAGCTTCTTATAC